ATATGTGAAAGAATATTGATTTAGAAATTATTAAGTGAATTGGGATATACTTCCAATAGTCCATTACATATGCTTTGTGATAGTCAACCAACCATCAATATTGCAAGGAATCTTGCGCATCACGTCAAAATCAAATATATTGAAGCTGATAGACACTCATCCCTAAAAGGTCAATGGTGGGATTATACAACTAAGTTATATACGGTCACACGAACAAAGTTGCTTATGTCTTTACCAAAACTCTTCCTTCTAACACCTTGAATAATTCAATACCAAGTTTGATCTCTACAACATCTATGACCCAATTTGAGGGTAGTGTGGAAATATGAGAAGATTTGGCTCTTTTCATATTTACATCTCTCATATGGGCCCAACAACCACTTCGAAATCATAGAGGTGTTGATTTGGATATCTTAGGAAACCTTTAATTAGTTTATTTTTTTCTTATTTTTTGTCTTTCTATTTTTCATTCAGAATTATTTTTCTTCCTAATTTAGGTGAGATATGTTTGGTAAAGTTATAAATAAGGAGGGGGATTTCCCAATATTTATGTACCCTATTTGTGAATAATAAGATGAAGCGAATTTTCTCTCCAAGTAATTTCTACAATATTAAATATGCCATTTGTGTCAAATTAACTACCATGATTTAATATTATTATGTAAATAAATTACTTGGAGACTTTTCTTAATGCAAAGGAATCTACATTGTATACATTTTTTTATATACAAAGGGTCAATTGAAACAAAAATGCAAAAATTGCACACATAATATAAAGCATATTGTCCATTTAATAATGAATTTCTTCCTTTTTAATATCAAAGTAAATCAAATGCAAATAATATTTATATATGTGATATTTTAAAACCATATACTTTAAGATTATGAATCATCTTTTCAATATTAAATTGAACAGCTATTAATCATACAATTACTTTTTCTATCCCTTTTAATAATATGTATTTTTGAATGCAATAACAATTGGTGGTAAGAAAAATTGCATTCAAATGTATCTTTTTATAATTTATGTAATGTTAGAACTCAATTTCATTGTTAGTCACAATTTGAAGATATTTTATTTAAATTCCATTTTTATTTATATTTTCCTTATACATATTTTTGAAATGCATTGGATGCATGTGAAAACAATTAATAAACTAATTATTACACAAGACAAACTTTAATTAAATCAACTTCTTAGTTGTTAAATATTAAATCAAGCATTAACATTAAACATTTAAAAAGGTAATTTCATCTTAAAAGCAATAATTTTAAAAACACTAACTATATTTTTTTTAACAGGTAACCTAATTTATCTAATCATTAATATAAAATTATCATAATCATGAAGTATCAAATGTAATATTAAATACTTGAAGGAAACTTATTTAAAATTATAGGAAATGTTCATTTATCAAAATTACATATTTTCTAACTTTATAAGATAGAGTTAAGTTCTATAAAAGATAATACAATGTATTTCACATTTTTCTAGGTTTTTTTTTTTTTTTTTTTTTTTTTTTTTTTTTGAAGTGAAGTTCTGTTTCTTGACATCAAACTGCTAAAATTTTATTGGTCCATGCAAGCAAGTCCCATGCACATGATATGCTGTGATTGGCTGTTGGTAGAGCATGGGACTGTAGGCTGTTTTTTGGATCTTGGTGTGGTGAAGGGAGGACAAAACGTCATTAGGTTGATCTAAGATTGTCAAATCATGTAATCATATTTTGACAAACATTGTTTCACCTTCTTACTCCACTGCCCCATGTTTGATTAAAAGGATTTTGGGCTTAGTTAACAGTGACATGGGTGGTGTGGTTGATGATCATCAATCGGACCCAGTTGGGCATAAGAATTTTCTACCTTGGAAGGAAGGGAGGCTTACTAAGCTTAGGGGGCTGTCTCCAGGATCAAACTAACTCCACCTTATGCCTCTACAGCAAATCTCTTGGACCTTTGTGCGATTGAGAAGATTAAAACCTCGAGTAGAATTGTTTTTAGTTCTCCCTAGAGCCAGGAGTTGCTCTAAGTGGATTTGTTTTCACTTCCCTTTTCCTCCCTCATCCTCACAATTTTAGGCGTATAGATAGCATAAGGCCACCTAGAATGTCATGCCTTGCTATGGAGGCTTCAGAAGAGATACAACCATTTGTCTTTAGTCACTCAAGCCATTAACTTGGAGTAATTTAGCTTTGGGTGAAAATTAGTGCTTGGTTTAACAAATTGAATCGGGTATGTTTGACCAAGATTTTTGAGTGTTCACTAAGATCTAATGGGTTTGAAGTGGATGTCAAAAACTGGACTCAATAATCTGCAATAGTCTTCATATGAGATGTTATTTTGTTTTCCTTTGTTTTTGGCAGAGGTGTAACATATATTGTTAAAAGAACGCTTCAAAGTGTACTTTAGGAGTAAGGTGAAGGAATGCACTAAGCTTGCACATCGCTTTTGTGAAGTGCAAGCTTGCAACAATGCATACGTTACACCACTTTGCACGTCGCGCTGTAATGATGTGTACTTAACCTTTGTTTAGAGCAAAATTTTATCTCATATTTCATGATTTGATTCAACATCTATGATAATGATTAGGTATCATTATTTACTTTTCCTCACTGTTTCTCTAATGATTAAGTTTTTATCTGTTAGTTTTCCACTTTCTGACTTGAGTTGGTCATTTCTTATTGGTTTTTTTTTGTCATGCCCCCATGCCCATGTGTTTTCAGACATTTTTCACTAGTTTTTATTGTCGGTGCTAGATGCTAGTAGCTTTTTGCACATGAATTTTTTCTACAGTATGCTTCTCATTCCCTCATCTTCATATGCTCGTTTCAACCTCTATCTGTCAGTTTCTAACCGGACACTCAATCTCATAACTGTATTCTTAGTTTTTATTTCATCATTTTATTTTTTATATCATTTATATATTTGATTCTTTTCCCTTTGGCTTCCAAATAGCCAAAAATTACTATTATTCGCTTAACATTTGATTGACTGAAAGAAAATTATCAAAAGTGGTTTAAGTTTATCAATGTAATAATTGTTGTATTGCATTATATGATTGTATGATATATAATTCATGAATCGTTAATTAGTTAAAGCATCGCTTGGTTTTATGCATTAAAGGAAAAAGAACTGCGCATTGCATTGTACCTAACACTTTGAAAACATCGAATGCAATATCCAAATGGAAGGCTTACAGCATGTCTTAAACCTAGAGATTTAGATAAAGCCACATATAGTATTTTTGGTAAATTATGGCTTAAGTCATTCACAAGACGACTAATTTTGCAAGCAGCGTTAACAAAGTAATCTAAAGTTATATCAAGTGAGTTCTAATATGTATAAACCTCACATAATATTTATTAGAATCTTATTGTTTACAACTTTGAAATTTATCATGTAATTTATCCTATTATTCACCGAATGATAATAATATCTCTTTTTAATATATGTATCTTGCAAGTTCATGTTGATTTTATTATTTTTTTTCCAAAGTATTTTGCCAAAATAATTAAGCTGGTCTCGCTAATTTTATTTTTGTAGCTTTTTCTTTTACTGAATACAATAAATTATAATACTTAAATAAGTATTCCATCTCAAAATTTTCTTAACATCATACTTAACTTGAATGGATGAATATAATTTAAAACCTTCTGATAGTTGCATTGATATTTACTAAAGCCATAATTTATCTCATCTTATCTAAATTGTATCTATCATTTTTTTAAATTGACCCAATTAATTGATAAGACACTTCAATCACAAGCTTTGATATTAATTTAATGCAGCACGACTGGAGTTAAAGTCTCATAATACAAGTAAATTATACAACAACAACAAAGCCTTAATCCCACTACATGGGGTCGGCTACATGAATCCTTTTTCTCCATTGCGTCCTATTTAGTGTCATATTTTCATTTAGTTTTAATAAATATAAGTAAATTATGTGTAGTAAAAATACATATGAAATTTAGGATTCATTTGTCATTGGCCACCAAATAAATACAATCACTTCCTTTAAATATAAAGCGGTAATTCTAGAACTAGAATCAAAATGATAAAAAAAATGATTGAATTAATTCAAAAGTATAGCAAGAAATTTGGAACGTGTAAAACCTATTAACAAATTGACCTAAGTCAATTGCATCAAATAACTTTATAATACAGTCACTGTCTTTAAATGTAAACAAGTAATGCTAGAACTATAATCAAAATAATAAAAAAAATCATTGAAGTAATTCAAAAGTTAACCAAGAAATTTTGGAACGTATTAAACCTATTAAATTTCATAAATTATGTCTTTGATATGTTACTTTTTGACCAAAGTTAATTTCACCAAATAACTTTATAACATATAATAAATAGATGGAATAGAATAAGGGGTAAAAATATGAAATCGGGAAAAATTTGGTCTCATGTTAGTGCAGGTAGATGAATTGCCCTAGAATTAGGTGTTTACACTTGTATCACATTTAAATGAACTAATCTTACTTGCATTCATATTATTGAAACTGATTATTAAAGTCATATTCAATTTAAAAGTTGTGAATTATATGCCTCGGATTAACTATTTCTAAACTTCTAATAGTCTATGCTAGTAAATAAAGTTGATATATGATCAATATTAATTTAAAGTTGAATTAATTCCAAGAGATAGAGGAGTTCCTTTACAGTTGAATAAGCCAACACGTGAACACGGCATTTAAAACTTCAGTAGAAACATCATTAAGTCGTTAAAGTGATGGATTTTGATGATGTTTTGTTCCTCTTATTTATTCTAATTGCAGTTAAATATAATCAATTCAGACAACAATGCACAAATTCAAGTTGGCTAGGATGATTTGAATCTTACTAAATATGTTAAAATAGGGCCACTAAGCATTTCAACCATCATAACCACAAGAATGGGAAGCGCTAGCAACCATGCCATGCATGCATGTCTCTTCTGAATATTTTAAGAAAAGGCTAAACTCCTAGATAATTTTGTTTATTTCCTCAAGGAAAAGGAAGGACTGGTACCTTTATGAACCCATTGTGGACATCCTATCGAACGAGGAAGTTGAGGCTCTTGATGCAAGGGAAGAACGAAATGCACGGTGAGTAATTCCTTTCTATTAACCAATGTTTTCAAAGACATTTCATTGTGATCTAGATGCAGCTAATCTTCTGCTATTTTTCATCACAATTTAGAGATATAATTTATTTTTTGTCATCTATTATTAAGAAGTTTGAGCCAATTTAAAACTCTTGGAACAAAATTCTTGCTAAGTGCTTCCATTAGAAATTCCTATGTAATGAATACACAATTATTAAGGTTTCACTTCAACAATTTTCTTTTGGGGAATAGTGAGAGAAATTGTAAAGCTTGTGGCTTGAACTCATGACTTTGAAAAAATAATTTCCTCAAATCAGTGGGATTTACGAAATTCATAAAGAATTGTGTAGAGGATCAATCAACCCCTGGTTTTATTGATCCCAAATTGATTTCTGTGGTGATTGGGGGTGTGTTCCTTCTAGGGATTTCTATAAGAATTTCTTCTGCTTGGCAAGCAGCTACTATTTGACAATGACTGATTTTGTGAAGTTCTCAATCAATCTATACTGTTTTAAGTTCTCAATAGATACTCTTAATGAAGTCTGTTATGGTTCATGTTAAGTTGCAATTTCTGGATGTGGCTAAATATGCAGTTTGAAGAAAAAGCTGGATGAAAAGGAAGACAACTTTCAAGAACGAATTTGAGAAGGAAGTGAGTTATCATTATCAACTGTTCCAATGCTGCAAATCGCATTAAATCAAATCAAATCAATTTTCATTTGTATTTATTTATATGCTAGAATCCATATATTATTATCAAATTTGTTTTTTTATTTCTTTTTCTTCATTTTTTTTTCCTCACATAATATGATATATATATATAGGTTTGATAATTTCCATAGTTTTGAGATTTCTTATCTGAATTGGTCCCCAAACAACTGTTTTATTTCAGCACTAAAAGCATGCTCAAAATATCATAAATCATAAATATTATGATTTGAGAGCTAAAACATGATGAAATCTATGTAAATTTCAAGTGTGGCTTATTGGGTGGAGCCCAACATCCACTATTTTAATGCACTATTTTATTTTCCGCATAACTTTTATTCGATTATTAAGGTCTCGCCAAGTCTTGTAGCAATTTGATGGTCCATTTGCTCTTGGATCTGACAAACGTAACAGTAATGAAAACATCAAAACTGTTAATTTATCTTCTTGCTAATGATGCTGAGTTTTCATTTGATTTTATTAATATTGTGTTCCACAAAAATGCAATTGTTTTTGTCATGATCCAAATAGAGTCATGACAAACATATTTAATTTTATGATGGTGAAAAGTGGAGGGTTGCGTTAGGTAGTCAACGAGAATCATAAATTTTTTATCCAAAAATTATGACATAAATCTTTTAAATCCTTGTGTAAGTGCTAGGGCGCCTCCTAAAAGTGACACGCCAAATGGCTTTAGTATAGTGAATAGTGTGCAAAGACCGCTACACTGATGCCCGGATGTAGTGTCAAATAAACAAGTGTTTTCACATTACAGACGGATGCAGATAAAAAAAAATCAATAAACTAATATTAGGATAGAATCGTAAAATATAGGTACTTTCAAAGGAAAATTAATTGAATCAGTAGATATTATGGTTCATAGAAAGATAAATAGCTCATGTATTCAAGTAAATAAATGGGTCAGAGAAAAGACTGAGGAGATTGATAGTTTAGGTTTAGACTTTGGTATGTAGGCAAAAGTCACCTTAGAAATGGTATAAGTGTAATTATAGATAAGAGTTTGAAAGATAATGTTGTAAAATTAATATAAATGGAGATGAAATTATAACCCTAAAGATTGTTGTTGATACTGAGATTTTTAATGTTGTACATGCTTATGTTCCTCACGTAGGTTTAGATATAAGTTCAAAAGAAAAATTTCAGAATGATCTAAAAGAGTTTATACAAATGATACCTCTTATAGAAAGAATTTTTATTGGATGAGATTCAAATGGACACGTTGGTAGAGTGGTAGAAAATTTTTAAAATATTAATGGTGATTACGTTTTTGAAGTGATTAATAAAAAATGTAGAATCATATTAGATTTTGTTTTGGTACATAATCTTCTTATTGCTAATACTTTATTAAGAAAAAAGATGATTATGTTTTTACTTATAAAAATGTATCTAATAAAATACAAATGAATTATTTTCTTATAAGGAAAATAGATCGCTGGGAATGTAAAGATTGTAAGGTCATTCCAAGTGAAATTTTAAGTACTCAACTTCGATTATTATTTATGGATTTTAAGATTAGGAGTTAAGATAAAAAAATACAATAAAATATTGTCATAGAATTACAAAGAGACACCTAAAAGATATAAATAAAATTACTTTTATGAGTAAACTTTAAGATTTATGATTCGGAACATTCATTAAGAAATTAATTCTATGTAGAATAAAGTAACAAGCACAATTAAGGATATCTTATATAAGAAGCATCACAACTGCCATTAAATTGTACATATGTAAGCCAGTACTCTCTCCTTAGTCTGCACTGAATAATACTTCCTTGCACTACGTGCGTGCGTGCTCAAGGATCAGATCTCACGTCTTCTTCTTATCGTTGCTGGAGATCACATCGGTGCCATTATGTTGTGATATCTGGACAGGCTGAGGGTCAACAGATGTTCAAACGCCATGGCCATTTAGATCATACAGGAAAACATAACCATATTTCGAGACTTCTAAAGTATAACCATCCGAGTATTTAACCCATATTCGATTAGAATAACTTTCCCACGCAGGAGCGGGGGTTTTGGCATCCATAACCACAACGGCTAGATGTCCATTAGGCCGCACCTCAGCGTAGCAGTTAGGGGCCGTTCCAGTGGCAGGAGATTCCCACATTATTACTTGGCTCGCATAGAATCTCAGGGTACAATTATATTCCATTCTGAATAAGTAGAGAAATTTACCATTATGTGACTCTTTTGTTAGGGGTAAGCTTCCGGCCGTCAGAAACTCTCCAACGTGCAGAATGGCTTTAGCTGAGACGATTATGGAAGCTGTTGGGAGGAGGAGGAAGAAGAGAATTACTGTACCTGGCTGAGCTGAAGGGAAGCCCATGGCGATCAGGCTGCTTCGTTCAGATTCCATTCACCAAGCTTATATATATACATACAGCATAGAACTCTATGGGAACCGATAACAAATTCTGTATTTTATGTAAGCTTGAATGATGATTTGTCTTATTTTGAAAGCTTGTGTGTTGTTTTGCATGAAATGTATGGGTTTACTTGTAGGATGAATTGATATGGAATAATTAAAGATTTACATATATAATACCCAATTCCTATGTATTTACATATGTCTAATGTCTAAATTTTTATTTCTTACATTTATACCAGTCAAACCTTTGGTCGACATCAAAATAGCAGTATTTGACAATTAAAAAATGAGATTACATCTTTCTTATGCATAGATGGATATGGTGGCATATATGTAAAACTTGAAATTTATGTGTTAGATGTGCAAATACATAAGAATTGAGTGTTATGTATGTAAATCTTCCGAATTAGTTATAAATATATATACAGTTGTGTAGAGACAAGGGAATTGCTCCATCAAGAATAGTCAATCAAACCTTATGATTGTCCATTTACGAAAATATTCAAATCGATTTGTCATCACAGAATTGATCTCGCTAATTAACAGTTTTCTTCTTTACAAGTCAATGTAGTATTACTAAGCCGCGTCCTCGGCGTGTTGGTAGAGCATCTGCTTGTCAGTGTAAGTTCCCTCAGAGGGGGTTTGAATCCTCTCCAGGCGAATTGTCCGCTATATGAAGGTGGTGCTTGAATTGGTTGGCTCACGGGGATCCAATCCCAAATCTAGCGGGATTGCGAGACCAATGGGTTGGTTGGTTGTTTCGCACTTCAACCAATCTTTAAAATAAAAAAAAATAAAAAAAAAAAAATCAATGCATTATTACTAAAAATGAGAGAAATTATAAGTTGAATAAATGCAATGATTTTATTCCAAATCCCTTTTTAATTACTGTTACAGTAATGCCATCTAAATTGATTAAATTATCCAATTTATCCGATAGACATTTGGATAAACCAATTTATTCATAGAGTAAAATATTATTTAAAATTTCATAATAATTAATATCCATTGCAATAATCAAGCTGTGTGATTGACTCATTCGTAATAATAAAACATTGACTTCTGAATAAGAGCATGTTAATTACTGGATCAATGCTATAATGATGAACCAATAATGATCAATGCTATAATGCTATACTGATTGACTTTATTGATGTCGCTCTTAGGCCCCAATTATGAATAAGCCCCCACCCATTTAGGATACGGTGATTTACCCTCCGCCCTTATGACCCGTTTAAGTCTTTAAAGCATAATGTCGACCCTATGAGTTGACTTGGTTATTTTGTAGGCCTCGCATGCCAGTGACCGAATGAGAGTTTTAAAAGTATCATGATTCTCCTGCCAGATAGCCATCCTTTTGGGTGACTTATTTATCGGTCAGGATAATGTAAGCAAGCTACATTTTATCGAGAGTAGTATAAGGTATCCCCCAAAATGTAACCAAAGGGTAACATTCCTTTGGGAGTACTCTTGACCCAGAATAAAATTTTTTTTTTGTTTCTCTGATTATGGGTGGCTTATTTTATGATTTTTTTGTGGATATCGTGTTTCAAAATATTTCGATCTGATCTTGTTCAGACGTATACTATTGTCAAATGAGGATTACTGCACATAAGCTTCCTATGTTTTTTTTTTTTAATTTTTTTTATTTTCGTCGTATATCCCGTCTTTTTTTATTTCTCTCCTATTCGGATCATTTTATATGATATGAGTGAGACATTTATTTGGAAAGAGGAATCATACGACGACATCATATATTTAGCCAAGCTGGTGACTCCGCATTTTTTTAAAAGAACCCAAAACATATTATTATCATTATTGATGCGTGATAGAAAATTATAGCGTTAGAGTAAAGAATATTTATTGTCTTAAATTGCGCGAGAATCTGGAACTAGAGCTGTCAAAATAATTGTGTTCAACTCGTTAAGAAGCTCGTGTTCAATTTGTTCGCTAAGTTAACTAGCCGAATATGAAGAATTTTTTTGCACTCGATATATAAACTAGTTGAACATGAGGCAAAGTTTTGTTTGGTCGTGTTTGACTCGTTTTGACTCGAAATAATTATATATATATATATATATATATAATTGATGAGTAGTGTTTTTAAAAATTTTAATTTACTACAAGCCTACAAAAATTTATAATCAATTAAAATTATTAATTAAAAATTAGATTAATAATATCTTAAATTAAATTTAGAAGACATTTTAATATAAAATAATAACATTTAATTCACGCCCCAAACCTTAACATCCTACGGCTACTTGACTAGAGTTTTCGCGATGTCGTCTGTGGGTCCTGGAGGTCATATAGGCCATATAGGCCATAGTGGTGAGTCGCGATGACGTCTGTGGGTTGTAAGGGCCGGAAGCAGAAGCTGCATGAGCTATGGATCACGTATTTCATAGTTGCTCACGTAGGCCATAGCGATGCGTATAAATGATGTTTATAGGCTGTGAGAGCTGGAGTTGGAAGCTGCACGTGTTGAGAATCGCATTGGTCGTAGTAGTGAGTAGTATTGACGTCACTAGGTCGTGAGGGTCAAAGTTGGGAACTGCACGAGTTATGGACAACGTAAACCATCGTGGTGAGTTGTAATGATGTCTGTAGGTCACGAGGGCTGGAGTCAGGAGTTGCACGAGTTGTAGATAACGTAGGTCGTAGTTGGTCACATAGGCTATAGGGTCCAGAGCCAGAAGCTTCATGAGCTTATGTGAGGTGCTTCGTTATCCAATTTTTGAAAAGCAATGTTGCACCGTCTTTGGGGTGCGTTGTTATACCGTCTTTAAGATGTGTTGTTGCATCATATTTGGGGTCAGTCTAGTGTTCGGATGATGTGCCGCTTCGCAGGTTGTTTCGTGACTGCAACGTCAATTGTTGCCTCATATGCTACTTTATCACATGAAGTAAGCGGCGGTCGATCGTGATGAGCTGCGATCGGCAAGCGGTGGTGGTCAGCAACTATAGGAGTAGAAGATAATTTCAGCTCATTCTCTAAGCCTCAGGCTTCAAACTCTCTCACCAATTTTCAAGAGAGAAGCATGGCTCTATTTATTAAGTTTCGGTTGCAATAAATAAAGGAATATGAACCACTCTGATTAGACGGCCCGGAAAGATTCCCTCAATCATATGATGCTTAATGGACATTTGAGTGCCTTAATGATGCCAAAATTGAGTGAATTTAAGCTTGTTGGATTCTTCTTGTTAAAATGTTTGATTTGACTATATGCTCATTAAATTCAACATCCGTTTAACCTTCCAAATACTCCTGAAAAGCTTCCTAAAAAGGTTAAATGACTTGATCGGGTTTGATTTGGCTTGTATTGGACCAATTTTGGTTATTGGGTCAATCTAGTTGAACCAGTCAGTTTGACTGTACGTTTACTGAAATCAGAGCTTTAGATGACTTTTGATCAAAGTCGAAATATTTCTTGCTCAAAATATTGCCCCAAGATCCATGTCATGCCTCGAGATTTTTGTTTGATGATGAGAATTTGTTGATGGCATATCAGTTACCCCCTATTTTCAGGCGAGATCAATGTCGTTATCCGAAAACATTAAAATTTGAAGCACTTTATATTTATGGTGATATTATTAGTGTAATTCTAAAAATTTGACTGTTACGCATGTAAATATACAAGTTTGGGTGAAAGAAATTTAAATATATAAGATTTACGTGATGTATGTAAATATTTAAACACCTTTTTGTTTTAGTTTATTATTATTATTATTATTACTATTATTTGAAAGAGAAATTTACTTACATATCACATAATTCTTATGTTTTTCTAAATTGGGGCATTTATATATGTTGAATCCCTTTTTATCCTTAAATCACACCAAAAATAGAGCGTAGCAAAGGAGAGAGAATCGGGGAGAAACTTAACAGCTGAATGAAATCAGCTAGATTTCCATAATCATATGTTTATGAATCTAAAAAGTGAAATTCATTTTCCATTTAATATCCCTTTTATAGAGGTAGACTTCTTTAAAATGGATAAATATAGACTTTTATTATGCCTTGACCTATATGGGCACATAACCATCTTTATTTGTCATATACAACATCATAAAAATTGAGATCTCACCTCAGATATCGTCCCTGAAGTCAACACGATGAACTACAAACGGTGGCGATTCTCTTGCGTTAAGAATCTTTGTACTCGGCCTTCGGTATCGTCGGTATCCTATCTTTAGCACTTGGTATTCATCACTCCCTGACTTCTCATACATAAGTTTACGGAGAAAAAATTGCGTATGGAAGACATACGCAGCGCTGCGTACGTTGGGTAGGTTACAGTGAGGGTATTGAGGGTTTATATCTGTGTTATACCTTCTGTAATATACTTATAATTAGTAAGTTTCGCGTTTCTGTTTTCATATATTTGTAAGTTACAAGTAGGTTAGAGGGAGGTGATATAACGCGGATATAACCCCCAATACCTTTCATGAAACCTACCTGACATACGCAGCGCTGCATACATCTTACGTACGTAAATTTTTTCCAAGTTTATGACACCAAGATGTTAAAAGTGTAAAATTTCAAAATGTCGCTGTTAGATATGTAAATACATAAAAATTGTGTTGTAGGTATGTAAATTTCTCTAAAAATTAACAGAAACATCACCATGACTCTATTTTCAATAACAAGTTCCATAGGACGCTAGTTATATACGATAAATCAAACTAATAAAACCATAATTCAACCTATTATTTGAGGCCAAGTTACATATTTCATCAAATATATAATCATTTTTTTTATTAATTTAATAATTAAATTACACTCTTTTCTGTAATTTGATCTGAAAATAAATGTTAAAGGAAATCTTTTTAGCTGCTGGAATCTCCAGAAGAAACACGGGGAACTACAAGTGGCACGCCACGAACTTTGTCCAGCGCAAAGCTTATTCTCAGAGGTCGGCCTAAAAATGGCTGAAAATAAAAATGCATAATGTATACATGCCACTCAATTATTAAGTATTTACATTTCTAACACCTAAACTTGAATTTTTACGTATATGCCATCTTACCTATGCATGAAAAGTTGCATTTCACATTTTAAAAGTTAAGTAATGATATTTTTGTATGTGAAAGGAAAGATTTGAGTGGTATGAATGTAAATGGACCATAAATGTATGTTACCTTTCCATCCATGGCATCTTTGGCACTTATTGCCTGACTCTCACCGGAGAAGTAGACGAATCCAAATCCTCTAGACCTGCCTGTGTTTTTGTCATACATGATCCTCACTGAGAGAAGCATAAACATACCCAAATAATTTAAAAAAAAAAAAGGAATTTTGGGTGCAGAAATATTAGATAAATAGCTTGAATCACTCACTAAAATAGGAAGATTTAAATACATATCACTCAATTCCAATGTATTTACATATCTGACATTTAAACCTCAATTTTTGCATATGTATACCACCTTTCCTATGCATGAAAAGATGTACTTTGCTCTTTCGAAGTTAACCAAATGATAATTCTACTCTCCCCAAACTCCATGTCAACCCCATGTCACTATAATCTATGGTGCTCTCGTTGAAATCGCCCAATTCCTTGGTCTTCCATGAACAGTTGGATTAGATTTATGGTTTGATTATTGATAAAAGTGTTAAAATGGTCATCCTGTTCTTTGCAGGGCGTGTTTTTAGTCTCAAAATCTATAGAAGTGTCAATTTAGTCCCTGGACTGTTTTAGTGGGGCCCGAAATAGTCCTCATGTATTATTTCAGTCAATATAGCATGGGGACTAATTTGACCCTTTTATAAACTCTATGACTAAAATGACCGCATGAAAACGATCAAGGGAATATTTTGGCACTTTAAACTTTGAATATTGCACAATAAGCTCCATCTTCTTGAAAGTGGATTCTTCTTATGAGAATCTTCTTGAATAAAAAATAATGGCTTGAAAAATTATGGAGTAGTTCGCCAAAGTTAGATGAAGCTTCTCATTGGATTAGCATAAGAGGAGTGGAGAGCAGAAAAGTGAATTATATTAGACCCATATTATTCATACAAATCCTGATAAAGACTTACCTATAAAGGCTTGCAGCTTTAATGATGTGGTTGTTGTGAAGCAATGATCAATAACTATTAAGGACATTAAATCTTGCTTAACTTTATTAGTTCCATGGATATTTTGCCTTATCATAACATAGAAAAAAATAACACCGATTCTAAGAAGTTGTAACTACTGAAAGGATCTCTGATTGTTTCTGTGGGGAATACTGAGAAATAGGAGTAATAACATTATGTATAACATGAGGTGGCACCATGGCAGTACATCATTTATAAAAAGATGGTAAATTTTAGGACTGTGAGAACCCTATAGCTTACTATTAGATTATTAGAATATTAATATGCAGATTTTTGTATTAATTCTTTTGATTTGTTTTTATTTACTTTCTTTTTTTTTCCTTTATTCTGATTTTAGTTGTTTCCTTACTAGTAGAACCTGTAATTGGTATTTATACCCCTTTGCATCAATAAGATTTACCTCTGGTTTATTCTAACATGGTATTAGAATCATGCCCCTAACCTAGCTACCGCCGCACTCTCCTTGCCGCCAACTAGGTCCACTTCCAGCTGCTGTCTCCCGTCCAAATGCTAGGTCTTGCTGGAGCCCGTCTCGTGCTGGAATTTGCAGCTGGATACCGCCTCCCACTAGATCCAGCCTCTATGTTCGATCCCAGCCGGTAGATGCCTCTCTAGAACTGGTAATCTGACCGCCAGAACTTTCTTCCAGCAGGAACCACTTCGTAGGGACATATATCTTTCCTCCAACAGCTGGAATCTTACAATGTCTCAACAACCTAACATCTCATTTGGCTCAATCAGAGTCACGGTGGACTCCTGCAACACCAACTTGTCATCGGTTTCATTGACCAGACAGAAAATCAACGTGAACTTCTTAATTATAACCCATAAACTGAACACAATAACTTTCTCCAATGGTCTCAATTTGCGTCCTTGTTCATTAAAGAATTTGGGAAATTCAATCATCTCACTGGTGTGATTCGTGAACATCCAAAGAATGACCCAACACATGAAGCTTGAGAAGTAGAGAATTTTATGGTCATGTTGTGGTTAATCAACTCCATGGAGACTTATATGATAGGAATCACACTACGAATAATTCTCAACTTTACCGCGGCTTAAAATCTATTAGAAACTAAGCCACACGGCGGAATAAGGGGATCACACCAATTCGATAAAAAAGCTGGAACAAAAATTAAACAGAAGCACAATTAAAACAACCAGAAAAACACACGAGAATTTACATGGAAAAACTCAAGAATGGGAAAAAAAACTATGGAGTCACATCATCGGAAAATTCTACTATGAAATTCAGAAGGTTTTACAAATAAATCACACAAGTTCTCTCCACACACAAAGAAAATTTATAGAACTCGCTCCACAATCTTACCTCTTCGATTCGACAGAAAAATCATGCTGAATCACAGAAATTCATCTCTTCGACACTCCTCACCTTCATCAAGATGCTCGTCGAAGAGTACCGAAGGAAGATACACCAGGCCCTACCTTACACCGCTCAAAATCGGGATTAAAAACAAATTCCCAACACAAATCTTCCCTCTTCGATCCGACGCAAAAATCATGTAGAATCACCAAAATTCACCACTTCGGCACTCCTTATCTTTATCATGATGCTCGTCGAAGAATACTGCTGGAAGATACACCAAGCTCTACCTTACACCGCTCGAAATCGGGATTAAAAACAAATTCCCAACACCAATCGCTCCTGGCTATGCACCAAGCTCTTAGAAATAGTCGCCTATATGGGCGCATATGCGCCCCAAAGACAACGCATAGGAGCAGGCTTCTTCGTTCGAGTAGTACCCAAGTGGGCGCTTAAGCGCCTACAACCCGGTACATAGGCACCGGGTGCTCCGTATCGCTGCTCACCTAATCAGTCTCCACTCATAACAATCTTCCACTTGAAGACCGATTGTACTGAACACCAGTCCTCTATACCCGCACCTCCATCTGAATCGCCTTCACAATGTATCGCGGTGTGGCTCACCCTCGGTCTCAACCTTCATGAAACCCAACTGAAGCCAAACATAGTTTCAGTTTCTCAACAGTCACCACCTTCGTCAACATATGCGTAAGATTCTCAGTTGTGTGTATTTTTTTCAGAAATAACTATTCATCTTCCAGAAGAGACTGAATGAAACGATATCTGAGCTGGATTTGTTTCGTACTAGCATGAAAAACACTGTTCTTAGCAAGATGAATACACTAATATTATCACTGTAGACTCTTCTTCCAATCCTCTGCTCCTTGCCCAATTCTGTAATGAAACTCTATAGCTAAATCATCTCCTTGCTAGCATCAGTAATAGCACATCAGTAATAGCAACATATTCTTCAGCTTCCGTAGTAGAAAGTGCAACGATCTTTGCAACCTAACTCACCACTGTGCTCCTCAATTTGAAGATATGCTCCATTGCACTTCTTTTAGCGCCCACATATCCTATCACATCTAAATCTACAAAAACCTGTAGACTGATCCCTACACTTCAATAGCAAAGTTTCCTGTTGATTGTTCCCCTCACATACCTGAAAATCCACTTTATTGTCTCTCAATGATGTGTCTGGATTACTCATGTACTTGTTAACTACTCCCACTGCATATGCAATATCTGGTCTGGTACAAATCATCGCATACATCAAACTTACAACTGTTGAAACATACGGATTTCTCTTCATCTATGCTTGCTCTGCTTCAGAGTTAGATGATAGCTCCTTAGATAGTTTGAAGTGACTACTTAAGGGAGTGTTTTGTCTCACTCATGTTGAACCTCTATAGGATTTTCTCAACATACTTTGTCTGAGACAACTTCTGTATTTCTACACTCCTGTCTCTGTTGATTCTCATCCCGAGGTTCTTCTTAGTTGAACTTAAATCATTCATCTCTAACTTACTTGATAATTGTTTCTTCAAGTTCAAGATTTTCTTCAAATATGTCTTTGCAATTAGTATGTCTTCCACATACAAAAGAAACAAAATATAACATTTAATGAAGTGTTTGATGAAGCAACAATGGTATGTCTGACACTTCATGTATCTATTGTCTGACATGAACCTATCAAACCTTATGTACCACTGTCTCGGGGCCTACTTCAAGTCATAAAGGCTCTTCTTCAATCTGCAGAACAAGCCTGCTTTGTCTGGAACCTTGTAACCTTGTGGTTGCATCGTACATAACTCTTTATCCATATTTTCATTTAAGAAAACTGTTTTTACATCCATCTACTTCGGATGTAGATCTTCCACTGCTATCAAACTCAGTACAACCCTAACAGAGTCATCTTCACCACTGGGGAAAAGATCTCTGTATAATTCACTCCTACTGGAAATTCATCGTAACAAGTCTTACCTTGTAGCTCTTGTTACCATCTGACTCCTCTTTCAGCATATAAACCCACTTATTATATAGTGTTTTTTTGTCAGTTGATAATAACGTCAAATCCTAAGTCTGATTTGACTCCAAACATTGTATTTCTTCATCCATGGAAAGCTCCTACTCCCTTGAATCTTCAACTTAAGTGGTCTACTCTAAGCACTTTGGTTCACCACTATCAGTTAGTAACAAATAGTGTAAAGAAGGAGAATACATGTGTACGGGTCGTGTCACTTTGTTGAATTTTTTAACTTCTGTAACATGTGATTGAAAAACTTTAGGTGCTCCTTCTGATTGAACTCCACTTATTTCTCTATCTTCCTGATCACCAGTATCATCTATTTCAACATATCTAGATTCTTCAGATGTAGCTGATGGAATATGCTAAGTTCTGACCCTGTCTTTGTGCATCTCAATTTCATTGAAAGTGACGTCCTTAGTTCTAATGAATTACTGATTATGATAATCCCAGTACTTTTACTCAAACTCATGTAAGTCATATCCAATGAAGTTGCACTTGATAGATTTTGAGTCAACCTTGCTTCTAGATCATGCATCTACATGCACATATGCAGAACACCCAAATTCTCTTAAATGAGATAGACATATTTTTCTCACTTCACGCTTCTTCAAGTAAGTCTTTCTCCAAAGGCATTGATAGACTACGGTTGATCTGATAAACTGTAGTGTTTACTGCTTCAGTCCAAAACTATTTTGGTAAGCCTACATGTAGTCTCATGCTCCTGGCACGCTCCGTGATTGTTCTATCCATGCGCTCAGTTACACCAATTTGTTGCGGTGTCCTTGGGATAGTG